ATCCGGGATTATAGGGATAGCGTACAACCCTTTCCTGAGTGAAGACATACGCGATTGCTTCTTTGATTATGAGCAGGCGGTGTTACTAAGATTCTGGACGTCCAGAATTGTAACGATTAAGAGCGTTAACAATCCACAGGCCAAATTGGGATTGGTCTTGGAAGAAGAGGTGACTGCACCTTCAGTACCAAAATCCGACAAGAGAGTGGAGTTTGGGTTGGGATTCTCAGATGAATTACTGAGAACGAGCTTGATGGCAGTGTGGGAATTGATGAGGCCATCATGGTGTCCTAGTCCCAACGCTGACTCAATATTACGGGCGACACAAGACGTACAGAGGGAACTGAATGCAGACTGTAACCTGCGTGACCTCAACATCATATATAATGTGATGATAACAGCCTCTAAGAGCAACGGAGAAGATAAAGTGGAGTTGCCTGGCTGGGGACCAGAAGACTGGGTCAAACCTGGTAGCTGTCTGGCGGAAGTCTGTGGACTGGAGGGTCACGTTTGTGGAGGTCTAGACTGTGTGAAAACCCTGGAGAAACAACACAAGCAATTGACAGTATTGTTTGGAAATGTAGTGATGAAAGCAAGAACGGAAACGGAACTGATAGCAGATTGTCATGGAGGAACCGACGTGAATCTAGTGACTGCACTAGGATTCTACAGCATGTTTGGTTCTTTAGAGTCACTATTGAATCTAGAACAGAAACATGAGATGGTCACAGCCATCAGCGTAGAAGTATTTCTAGGAGTTCTGCAGACTGAGCAGAAATATATAGGAAAATGGAGGGAAGCAATCGAGACAGAAATGAACATCAGACACAGCGAAACTTATTGTATACCATCAGGAGCACGATATTTGGTGGGTTCAACGTTGGCTCCAATGTGCAAGAGCAGGTATCCTGTACATTTCGTAGCTGTGGACGTGAAGAGTACAAGAACGATTAGGAATCAAGCCTTCTCAGTGCCGAAGTGTGTGAGATTGGCGAGAATGTCTGAAAAGTCTTACGAGTTACTATGTAAGATGTTCTCAGCAGTTCCAGAGAGAACCAAAGAGGAGTTGGAGTCAATACTAGGAAAGAAGTTCATGGGATATGTGAGCGGGAACTTCAGTGACTTTGAGAAACAGAAACAGAGAGGATCAACTGTCACAGATTACAATGCAGTAGATGAGAATGATGAAGTCCACCGAGTGATGATGGAAGTGGAACCATTGCTGGAAGCTTCGGGAAAACGTAATTGGAGGAGCATCATGTTGACGCATGACGAGTTTCCTTGCCACTGCTTGCTGCAGACCTGGTGGTATCCCAAGCGTAGTAATCTGATGTTGATCTGGGACTCTGGAGAGCTGCTCTCCATGGGTTTACCAGATTCATCACAGCCCGTAACAATAGTGATAGTGGGAGTTATGATGGCGATACGATGGCTGGAAGCTCATGTGAGAGAAAATAATAGACAGGAGGCGCCGACGAGAGAACAATTGCGGAAATTAGATTGTCTAAAAGATTTAGATCTTTTTGAGACAATGTGCAAAGTTCTAAACATTCCGATGGAAGTGAAGAAGATATGGGCGAGAAAACGATTGATGCCATGGTTCAGAGCTAACATGACTGCATGGTTGTACGAGTATGCGAAAAAGCATATGTCGAAGCACGGCAGGGTGTACAGTGAATATCAGCTGGACATTGGAGCAGGAGCTTTCAAGCGAGCTCTCGTGACTCATCGGAATGCAGTGACCACCGCTGTGAAAAGAATTTCCAGGACGAGTGAGCGTAGTGAAAATGAGAAGGCAGAGATGCTGAAAGAAGATTTGGAGAGAAACGTGACGTTGTGTCTCCACAACAGTTTCTGCAGAAACAGAGAATCCAACGTGGATCCCCTACCTTGCTGTAAGCAGAGGGTAGAAGAGCAGAAGTGTTGGAGGACGGCTTCCAACAGCGTCAGGATAGCCAACGATGTGCTACAAGACACGGAAACCGAAAGTGCGGAGTCAGTATCACAGGAGGAAGAAATGGAACATTGATGAATGGTCGAGAAAACAAGAGGCAACAAGAAAGAAAATTAGAAGAATTTAGAAGTTTTAGAACTTCTAAACGACGAAAAAAGAAGAGAACAAAAGAGTGATGAAGAAAAGTTAAAACTCAGAATTGTTTTATGTGTGTGAAAAACTCAAGTGGGAAACCAAGCAACCAAGTTGTAATTGAAAACTGAAACATTTAGTTGAGTTTTGAAATTGTTGCATTTATAAATTTGCATTTTGATTTTAGTTGAAGTGGCTTTAGAGACACTCACTTATTATTTATTTAGAAAGGCTTAAGGGAAGAGTATATTTATTTAGAAAGGCTTAAGGGAAGAGTATATTCCAGCCTGCATGATTGTTTTTAATCACTTAGGAAGACTGATCACTTTGTGGTGATGTGGAAGGCTTGAGTAATCTCTCGAAGAGGGAGATTGTTTCATTGTTCTTTCTAACCACAGAGTTTCTTAGTTTTAATATTCAGGACAATAACAAGCAAGATTTCCGAAGGGAAGAAGCATAGTAGGATAATTTTAGCTTGTTGGTTGGCAGGACTGTCCTGCAAGCCAACACCTTTTAAATCTAAGAGAAAAAGTTTTAATCGGGACATTGACACTGGAAGTCAGAAAATATGTTTTATCTTAGGTTATATCCTCAATGTGCAGATTAATGAAAGAATTTGAAGGCTATAATGATGTAGTATGATACCATTTATATTCTGCAGTGAGTCGATGTGACGTGGATAAAAGTAATTTCGTGCATTTTGTAAATTCTGTTCGATGACACTGTAACCATTTTCTGAACATTGCGCGATTCAATGAGGACATTGACCGGACTGTCCGGGGAGTATGTGACATTCGACCAGAATGGCCAAAATGCAATCTCTGCAGAATTCGGAATTTTAGCAGTAAGCCTTCCGGATTGGTGGTTTTTAAGAACTAAGAGCGTTATTGGAACGTTTGGCCAGACGGTGAGGGCTGGAATATTCTAGTATTTAAAAATTTCAAAAATTCGAATGATGACGTCACATTTCTGAAAAATGCTGAAACGGCCATTTTAACAAAAAACGAGAGAAAAAACACAACAACCTTAATTGCGCTGACGATAACAACGATAATCGTGATTGAAAAACAGCAGCAGATTGCAGGAATAGCAGAGAACGTTCCGAGTTGCAACTATTGTGCTGCTTTTGTGCTTGAAGGTTAGTTTTATTCCTTAAACATTCTTTTTCCGAAGTCTCCTTTTCTTCCTGAAGTATGTGAAGTCTGTCCAAACGCGTAATAAGGGGAGGACTGGTTCATACAAAGGGGGTATTTTTTTTGTGTTTTTTATAAAAGTCAAAATTGTTGAAAGGAAATTAATAGCGGATGTTTTTCCAAGATATTCAAAATTTGTCTTCCGAAATCACTTTCCACGCTTAGACTCCAACCACAAATCTCATGTTCTGGAGGCGTACGCTTTACCTCTAGACCAAATGCGAAAAGCTCTGAAAGATGTTGCGATTTCATAATAACCAAGGTCAGTTTCTTACATTTTTGATAAAAGTTTGTTCCGGGAAATAAAGTTTCGTTCCCGATGAGAACTAATGTCTAGTTCGCGGTTACCTTTGAAGTCTGTCTAGCTCCCATTTGCAAGTACAATTAATTTTGCTAGTGAAACAAAATCTAAACTAATTACAATCCTGAAAACGTTCAGTTTTGGTTTTTTATCATTTACAAATAATTTCTACTTTCTAACTAAAAAAGGCCTTAAGGCTCTGATTGTTATGAACAAAACATGTTTGACTCTTTTTTTAAGGAAATTAACTCAATTTCAAAAACTGGATCAGTAGTTAAATATTTCGTTCCGCTGGTAAACCTGCAAAATAACATCCACTCTCATAACTAGAAGTCAATCAGGTTTTTCTGACCTTCAAACATTGGCTGTTCGATACTCGAGTTTGCCTTCTTTTTATACTTCAAATTCAAAAGTGAGCGTGAAATGTCCTAACCTTTTGCTGAAAAAAAAAACAAAAAATTCACCAAGACCTAAATCAGAAAATTCAGGACTCAATTACACTTGCGCAGCGAGTGTATTAGTACGAACCTTTTTTTTTAAACTTAATTAGCAAATATTGGTGACCTTTTTGGGGTATCTTTACAGTTTTTATATAGCTTGTGCTTTGAAATTCGAATAGTAAGGGGGTAACACAGTTGATGCATTTTTAATTCATCAAATGAACCGAAACAAATGATTTCTTTCAAACAATATTACAATCAAGAAAAATCGATTGCAGAAGTTTTCTAACCCATATCTCGCAATTGCTTGAAATGCATTTTTATACATAATGTGTCTTTATGCTTCGCAAATTTTTACATGCAAACTTAGTGTGGATACCTTCAGTTGGTTATATTCCAAATTATTGCTTGCAAAATTGAGTCCATTTGTATTTTGCTGAACGGCATTGGCAATATATTAGCAATGTAGCTGCTTTATACGTGACTTATGTTTGTCGGTTGCTAAGCTTGCGTGGCTGAGTGGACAGTGCGATACTCAAAATCTCTTGATTGCAGTAGGTCGCAGATTCGAATCCTACACGTAGCCTACTTCCAAGTTTTTGCTAATTCGAGGCTTATTTCTACTTTTTCTTATTTCACTTGACAGAGCTGCTTTTTGGTCGTGCTCTCGCAAGTGTTTGCGAAGCGCAGCTTCGCCTGTGTAAAACATGATCAGTTCCTCGACGATCAAACAAGATTCGAGGAAACTTAAGTCACCTAACAGTTAATGTGCCACCTCCACGTTTAACTGAACTTAATATTCGAGGAAAACACAGTCACCTAACAGTTTAAGTGCCACTTCCACTCTTAGCTGAACTTTAGCACAGAGGCAAGTGAAACTTATTCTCTTAATTAATCGGTTAGATGCGCTGTTTACCAGAAAAGGCATTCACCTGATTTTTAGTAAATGATACTTTCCATAGGGCTATGGTGCTGAAAAGTACTTATCAAAAATGAATTAAGTTCAAACTTTCTGAACAATTTATTCATAAGTAAGTGTCAGTTCGTAAACTCAATGAGTTCTTGCGTTTAGAAACGTTGACAGTTTATTTGAATTGTGCTCGATCGCTTTGCGGAGAATATCTATCTGCTTGTCTTGTACATTAATACTCTCCGATACAGTCGGATGTTCCGAGCTACTACTGCCTTCTGTCTCGCCAGTGACTGCCTGAAGCAGCTTCCGCATTGCAGCCGCTAGGTCAGTCGCCTCCGATTCCAGAAGTCTGGCTCTTCGTGGAGGGTACAGTGCCAGAACAAACTCGTCACATGTGGGCGACATCTAGGATAGCAGGCGAATAAGACCTTGGAATTCATTTTAAGTACTGTCGAATTACAGAAGCTTAATCTTATCAAAACAATGCTCCTAGGGCAATAACCTCCGAGAAAAACCCTGGGGTGATCCACAAATTCAAGATTGATGAATTAAAAGGATTTTTCAATATTATATCGATATTGTCAGAATTGAGCTGAATAGTTCAAGAGCTGAGAAACAACTTACCTTATTGCAACACTCAATTATCTCGTCCATTCTCTCATTACTCATCGTGGGCTCAGTATTACTACTGCCAGTAGGTTCATCCAGCACGCTGCACGCCTTCTTCAGACAAGCTTTCACTGTCTTAACCAGACCGATTGAATTCTGGATCAGCTGGCGCAACTCTACGTCCGACAATATGGACTCCAGACTGACGAATTCGTCTGCCAGAGAAGACATTCCTCCTGTTGCGCCTGCATCAAAAAAGAGTCCTGGTTTTTATTTAAAGCAAAACTCAATGCTATAGGCTTATTAGTCGGTGAAATTCAACAAAATTTATCCACATAAAATTGCTCATTCCACCCCTCTTAGAAAATTTTAGCATTTTACAGGCAAACAATTAAAAAGCCCAACTAACCAACAAACTCAATTTCAATTAAAACTTTAATTTGTGAGTTAGAAAAGAAGCTTCGTACTAAAACACAAGCTGCTGTAACTGTCATCCGCCCGTATTGGCATCATGATAGTGATGTACAGATATACATAATTATAAAAATTTATATAATTTATACCTTAGGTCAACTGACTTTGAGAACTACGGCCAGTCCGTATTGATAAGAGCACAACTTGTGCAAAACTGAGAAAAGAGATAAGGTTTCAGCTAAATTCTATTTCTTATTGAAATATCATATCGGTATTATTTATCGGTAGGAAATGGCGCAGTAAGCATGATACAAAAACCCTCTGAGCATCCCAGCCTAGCAGAAGGCAACGGCGGAACCGCTAATGGAACGGACAAAATGGGCAGCCATGGTGGAGATGGCCGTCCTGGCTGAAGAAGGTATAGAATTTCGAACTCTACTTCGTGCAAAACCCCCAATCATAGAACCAATAGAACCAATTTACGAACTGTAGGTTAACGGTGAAACCCAGTAAGAAAAAGGGAAACGAGATATACGAAACCAGGAGAAGAAGGTCAACTGGGAAAATCAAACAACAAGAGCTCGAGAAAGAAGAATACTTTGCAACAATTTCCCATGGGACGAAGCAGATGCAACGGTGAGAAGTTATATCCTCTTTTGTTTAGGGGCGGATATAATTTCATCTGCAGAAAACAACGGAAAAACGAATCATTAGAACAATTCCATGCGGATTCAGTAGAGTTAGCAGCAACGGCAGACTGCGGTGACAGAGAAGAAAAATGGATCCGCGATATATTCACGGCCGATTCAGGAAACCAGATGTCGCTCTTAAGCAGAAAACAGCGCACATATTACAAACAAACGACAAATCAGCAAAATTCAGATATACCCCTCCGGAAGATACGACGAGAAACATGGCGAGTTATCATGGAAAATATATAATTCCAAAAGGACGGCTGATACTTGCGATAGAATCCAAAGGTGGGTTCAAAAAACCATGTTATGATAGAATCTGCGTGGGTTCAAAAAACCATGTTATGAGAACTCAATTCATGAAAGACACAACACCTATACATTAGAAAGGAAGACGGGTACCAACTCATCTCCAAGAACGGTTTGAGAAACAATTAAACAAATTGATCGATCAAAACACATCAAACTAGACAAATGTTCAGATGAAAAATTTATAAGCCCTATTGTAATAACGTTAAAACAATCAAACAGTGAAACTAGCATTGTGAGACTAGAAGAAACTAGAAAAAACAGTTAGACTCGAAGAAGATAAATAATTTATCCACAAAAACAAATATCAAAAGCCCAATATTGAATTAATGCTTGACAACATTGCGCAAATCATAAAAAAACGAAAGAAAAAGAATCGACATTTTTCTCAACACTCGACCTTCAATACGCATATTCGCAAATCCCTCTGAATCCAGAGACCAGAAAACAATGTAATTTCAGCCTAATCAGAGGACATGCCACATGAATAAACCAATTCCAACGAACAGGTTGGATGGCTCGGATATCATATTAAAAGCGAGTGCACCAAGCCGCTGAATCGAAAAACCCACGCAATAGCAAAACTCACACCCCCTAAAACATTCAAGCAGCTAAAAAGTTTTATGGGTTCAATACATCACCTTACAAGATACATAACAAACCTGGCAAAAGAGGATTCAGCATTCAAACCATTTTTAAAAAACACGGACAAACACAAAGCATTGGAATGGAAGTCGGATCACATAACAGCATTTTATCTCATATTAAAACTTGTTTCAGAAAAAAACTAAAACAAGCACTAAAACCTATAGACGCGTGTGGTCTGCGACGCCTCTATATTTGGGTTAGACGCCGCGCTTGAACAATTTACCCAGGAGAGATGGGTGGCAATAGCTAATGCGTCCAGGTTCCTAAGTTCTTTCGAAAAAGAACATTCGGTTAAAGAGCTAGAACTATTGGGGGTCGTCTAGGCAATCGAATATTTCAATTATTTATTGTACGGGAAAAATGTCACCGTCATTACCAACCATCAAGGTTTAATTAGTGCATTAAACGCGAGCAAAAGATCAAACTAGCCAACGTAGACTCACTAGATGGATTGATCGTTTGATCTCTTTCAATTTTGATATCAAACATTTGGCCGGATCAAAAATGGGACTAATAGACTACATATTGCGAAACCCAAAAGGATTAGCAAAACCCCCAGTGAGTACGACGAGGAATTTGTAGCAGCATCAACTAAATCTTCATTGCAATTCTCGAATTGAATGACAAAGTCATTCTAAACACGTTAGCCAATCAGAATCAAGCAACGTAACGGCTGATCAACCGCGCGCGGAAAATAAAAGGAAATCAATTGAAATCAAAAGCATATTTCAAACATTGCGAACATACAATCACGGTCACAAAATCTTAAACAAAAACTATCATTCGATCAACTCTCCTTCTAAAAATCAGCAGTCCATAAGCAAACATAAACAGACAAGAAATCTTATCAATTTTTCTAATAGCACCATGAGCCGGAGATTAGAAAAATAAGGTTTTAAAGGAGGCTTCATACCCGATTCGGCACGAGCTAGAGGCAGCCGGAAAAAGACAAACACCACGCGGCGGACAGTCCGCCACTACTTGGAGAGGAGAATCGGATCAAGAGCAGAGCCTATCCGATCCCCGATGACACCGCCGAACAACAACAACTGAAATATGGACATCTTCGTCTCAAGAAATCTCAACAAGTCCCCAGAGAGAAACTCCTGCAATCTAGCCAAAGGAAGAGAAAATTCCCAAAAAAAAGTGTTTTCGGAAAGCCTGACCGGCCCCACCAGGACAGGATTAGGGAGTAAACGCCCGAAGGGACTAGCAGCCCAAAAGCAGTTACCACTGCGACCGCGACTCAGACACAAACTCAGTCCGCGGAATCTCATTCACAAACCTAAAACATAACAACCAAGACATGGAATCACAGACAGACTTGACGGTCGAAGTTAGCGAGCATTATGAGTATTGCGTGAGCCGAGTTGATCCCTCAATCCAGCAGAGGAACGACTTATCTCCATATGAACCACGACCGACAATGACCAGTAACGCCAAACAACTAGACGCAAGCCTCGAAATGATCGTTCCAAGTATATTTGCCACAATGGATCAGGTCACACCAACCTCAGAGCTGGAAGAAGATACACCTTTGTACCGGAGCAACCTCCAGAATGTAATGGGGATTGGATTCGCAGCAGCAGCAACCCGTAAGGATCGGAACTTAAAACCAACGTAAGCAATAAGCGAGATTGGGCCTGACTGAAGCTAGCCTACGGGGACTACTGGTATAACGTCCGAAACCGCCTACATGTTGAGGAGGACTGTTTGCTGTTGGATGAGCGGATAATTATCCCGCAACAACGTAGACAAACAATCCTAGTCAGTCTTCACCTCACACACCCGGGTACAGCTTCGCTGCGATGCTGGACCTATAAGAGAACATTTGATTCCCCCATATTCACCGGATCATTGTCCAAATGGCCCAGATCTGCAGACAATGCACAGAACAAGGTTAAAAATCAAAACTAGTATTGGGAAAAGAAAAGTCATTCCAAAACGGAATCAGTAATAGAACCAAATGAAGAAGTACAACCCGATTTAGCGGTGCTCCTTCCGGATGAACCAAATAAAGATGCGTACATTCATGTCGTAATGGTCAAAATTTCCAACAGCTAAGGTAGTTAACCAGAGGGGGAGAATTTCGAAAATTGAAAAAAAAATTCAAAAATTAATTTTTCTTGAAATTTTTGAAAAACCTCGAAAATTGAGTATCTCGTCAACTAAAAAGATTTGGTTATTCATATATGGAGGCCAGATTCGCAAAACCTGAAAAAACTCTGACAGTATCCTACTATTGGGTTGCCGATTTCAAACTTGATGAAATAAACTGAATTTAAACTGGAAAATTGAAAAAAAACTTAACCATTGCAATATACGATATAGCTTAAACATGAAAAAAAAATTCGTTAAACATGCAAAAATAATAGGTTGAGAAAACTTAAACATGGCGAGATAGTGAAGCCCGCATTTAAATATATAACAGAAGAGATGAACGTTTGAAAATTAGACGACGGGCAGACAGACATAATCAAAATAATTAAGAAAGCAGGTATACAGACGGACAGACAGACAGGCTGACTTTGGCCTCGAAAAAAAAATACTGAAATACTGAAAACTGATTGACCTTGCGGAAAACTAATTGAAAATTTTTTTTAAGCATTGCAATATATGATGAAGCTTAAGCATGAAAAAATTCTTTCGTTAAACATGCAAAATTATTATGCTTTAACATGGGAGATAACTGTCACTCGCATTTAAATAAAGTATAGATGCAAAGATAAATTTTAAACAACAGGGTACCACGAAATCAAGATGTGATCAGACACAAACGTTCTGGGCAAAAAAAAATCAATTTTTTTTGCAAATCAAATAACATTAAACTTCTTTTTGCGCCGATAGACGATCACAGATCTATTGGCTTAGTTGAACAGATGATACAAACACTAAAACGCAGATTAGGAGTAATGCGAATTGAACATATGACATCGTTCAAACTTTCATCTGAAGTCGCAGAAATAAAAAAAGCTTTAAGAATTACTCCGCGCGGAACCACAAAAATCACTCCCTTCGAAGCCCATATGGGACGAAAACCAAATGCACCACTTTCAAATAAAGCAACAACTAGCTCCCCAAATCTTTTGAATTGGGAAAACGCAAAACACGGTTCTTTAGATCAAAAAAACCTGATGTACCCTCCACTGCCACCAGAAGTTAAGCTCGATTTACAATGTTGGTCGGAGAGCGAAGTAAACGTCAAGCGGAAGCCACCCCAAAATCTACCAGAACCAACAAACGCCGAAATCCAAAGAGAAACAGGAACGTCATCGAGTCCAAGTAAAGCACGTGCGAGAACAAGGTTTTCCTTAGATAGATAGAAGGAAGCTCTTAATTCAAAATTTGGAGAAACACACGCACAAGAAGATGCAAACACTAAAAAAATTACAACAGGTAGCCCGAAAACAATAAGATAAGCAACGAAAATAAAAGACTCAAAAACACTTGAACAAAAGGTCAAAACCATAAATGGGAATCCTAACTTATACACCACATACAGCGTGGGTACAAACTAAGTGAAACCAACCTCGGCTATTAAGGAACAGCGGATTCGCTTTTGTACCGAACCCACTTATCTATGGACCGTGCAGAACTTCAAGATTAAGCGATTATGTTGCATACAAATCCGCAAGACGAACGTGTCCAAGTTTACGTTTTTTAGATATTGAACAACAAAACACACACTTGCACCCAATGTTCGTAGAAGACGAACAAACGGGCCTGTCAAAACGGATGTCTCGAAAGGAGATACAAGAAAGAAAAACTGCGGAACCAGAAGCAAAAAGAAAACCCCAGACCGGGAAAACATCAGGAGGAAAACCAACCCCATAAAAACATGATGTTCCACAAGGATGATAACAAAAAACAACAAACCCGACATTATCAAGCGACGACTGGTCCTCCAACACGTCGGAGATCACGTCGCCCGCGCCCAAGACACAAGGGCACAAGACGCGGTCAAGGTAGTAGACCTCGTATCACCGACAAACATCCAGACCAACGAAACAATAACGATGGACAAAAAGAACGTTGATGTTCCGGAAAAACCCAGTACAACGGTGACCGAAGAAAAAGCCAACACAACCGAGGAGCATAAAAAACAAGTAGACGAGGAAGTGAACGACGATATGATCATTGATACCAAGAAATCCAATAATGCAACGGAGCAACCAACCAAGGAACTGCAAGAGCCCGCAAAAGGGAATTGAATAATCAAAAGTCCCAAGGGAACTCAAGAACTCTTATTTAAACTCAGTCAGTCCCACGGGGACTGAAAAACTCACACTATTTATTTACGTTCAGAGGGGGGAAAGTCATCCCGCCGGATTGGTATCATGATAGTGATGTGCATATATACATGTTTATAACTATTTATATAATTTATACCACAGGTCAACTGACCTTTAGAGTTACGGCCAGTCCGTATTGATAAGAGCACAATATGTGCAGAACTGAGAAAAGAGATTATGTTTCAGTTCACTGCAATTTCTTATTGAATTATCACATTCGTCGCCAATCCGTACGGATTCACTAAGATCATATAACACGGTATGACAGTAATTATTCGGATGAAACGCATAAGAATTGAAAAAAGAACGGGTTTTTCTCAAATTGTGTTGACTTCAGACAAAACATGATAAGATAAAATGTGTTGGAATTTTATCAAAATTGTAAAGGCTTGCTTCCACTTCTCAGTTCTCTTACGCGTTTTTATGGCTGAATGCATAATATTTGATGTTATGGAGTAAGGTGAGAAAAAGAAAAGTGTTGACAATAGTTATTTTGCTTACTATGCAAAACTTCATTACATTATGACAACGTGAAATTAGTTTTTCAAAGCTCAAATTCAAATGTGGGGAAAAAAAGAAAATAGCCGCCATTTATACAGCGAAATTCGAGCTCCCAAAATTATAACCTTAAAATGAGTAGGTATTAGCTCTATTAAATAGTCAACCAAAAATTGCACAAATTTTAACGGGTCAATTGCTGCGTAAATATTCAAAATGAGTCTCCTATGTAGCCCAATAGAGATTAAGAATGGTATAACCTTCTAAAAACTCCATAAAAATTATATTTTCCTTTGATAGTCAAAAAATTTCATTTTGACCATAAGAAACACCATTTATTTTATTTGAGATCAACTTTTGAACCTTTTGTGCCATTTTTTCGAAGAGTATATACTGTTTAAGCTTTGTTGGCCCACGTAAACGGCTCACTTTAAATATAGTTTTGTCAGTATTTCATCCGGCAGTGTTTGCGTAACTTTTAATTGACTACAAAAAAAATAAGTTCCGCAAAATAAATTGCGCTATAATAATAATTTAGCTTAAGCTTCAAGCAAGTTTTGTCGCCATCATTTTTTGTCTCAATTCAACCCAATTTGAGAAAAACCTGCATTAAATTTTAAGTATCAAGCGTTTTGTCCGGATATATTAAATAAGCCGTGTATAAAGGCACCTGATGTCCATAGTCATTTTGTTCAGTGTTTAGTTGATTCTGTCTACTTTTTCTTCATTACTTGAAAGAATGATTTTTTGTGAAGGGAAGGCAAGGAACTACTTTTCATTTTTATCTCGTCCCGATTTCTACATTTTTTCGTCATTCTTGAATTTCTTCATATAAATCATTGTGGTCAAAACACTAAGCTTTCGGCTTTCCTTGTTCTATAATCTTTTTTATATAAAATCATAGCGGTGAATCTTTGCCAAACTTGAGGTCAGTCGGAAACGTTTAATTTTTTTATTATATAAGAAACTAATTCAAATCCGGGTCCTAATTTCATAGCGCGTGCCTTCACATTTTTATTTACTTTTTTTTTGGTTAATCTGAAATTTGGTTAAAAAAACGCGTCTGAATAGATTTTCTGCTCAAATCAAGGGTCTTTTGAAATTTTTTATTACTCCAGATTATTGATGCCTAGATTAACCTTATATTGGATAGCTACAACAACCTTATCCTTGTGAGCGAATTCTAGTGTTGCTTTTTTGCGGAACTTGAAACTATGCCGTGTTAGACATTTTTCGTATAACGGTCTTTTTCATAAACTCGTTTTCTTCACGGGAAAAATGATACTTCCATTTTCACGGGATTCTTCATGGGAAAAAGATGAAAAACAATGATATGACGCAAATATTTAATATTTATCTATCAAAACAACAAGCTTCGTCTCGATCAAATTCCCCTACCGGAGTGAGCATTATCTCCGTCCATTTCTATTACTGGATCCACAGTGTGTGTATTCATGCCGAGAGAGTCGAACAAGTCCGCGATATCATTAGAGCCACTTGCGTCTCCGGGAGCTGCAGACGATGACCGTAAAGGGAAGTCCTCTGCTGTCAGTTCCTCCAAAGCATCCTCAACTAACGCCAATCTTAAACACAATTCATATTTTACTCAGAGTAACGCAAACAAGTGGCCGGTAAGTTAAAAGCCAAATTCAGTGGGAAAACTGCGTTTCTTTGGCAGTGATATGCAAGTCTAAAAGTGGAATGGTCTATCAAGTGTATGCCATTGATACTTCTGATTTTTCCATTTGAGAAGAAAGTTGGCCTCAGTTGATTGATAATCCATTGGTCAAATAATACAAGAAAAAACTTCTAAACACCTTTCAGTTTAAAAGCTGGTTAAAATATGAAATATTTGATTTTTTTTTCATCATTTAATGAGTTAAAAATCAATAATCAAATTTCATTCCAAGACAACCGTTAATTCAAATAAATTCAATTTTTAGCCTACTCGGAATCGCTTCACTTTTACCTTTCAAAGCAAAACTGCTTATGAGCGAAACTTATGGCTGGAACGAAGCTTATACGATTAATTTTTTCAAACAATGGCTGAATGTTTTTTAAGAAATATTTGAAAAATATGACGTTAAAATACCGAGATGCAGCACACAAAATGATGCAGAAGGACCGCCAAATTTATTACTTTGAGTTATTCTTCGAATAAACGTTCACAGCTGCTGCGTACCTAATTTTATCAGTGGGTGGGTTAAAATTAAATTCAAGTTTCTTGATGGCAAAAAGCCGATTGGCGCCGCAACCAAAAATTTCAATTGTGCGATTTGAGCTGTGAGGAGCTTTGCTGGTTGTAAGAATAAAACGACACGTATGAATTCAACACATTTATAATGGAATACCTCATCGTCAAAAACAAAAAGTATCGAAAACCCCATGAACCTTTGTTTTGGGCGAAAGGTGGCGATAATGTAGCTGATTTATACGTGGTGCTTCACCTTTGGACTTGAAGTCCGGCAACTTTTGCCAGACAGGGCCAAAACGTTTGGAATTGCCCTTCAAAAACTTAACCGTTGAGCAAAAATGAGTCAATTTCTAATTGACTGAGCTGTCGAAACCTATACATTCCCCTCTCAAGTGAAAGCTGTGACTTCGAGCTTATTGATTGTAGTTAAATCAGCAGACTTGTCTTTTAAAAAGTGTAGTTAGACGTCTCTTAGCATCGAAAAATTCCACTCCCTAGTTCCAATGAGGAAAACACTTCCTTTTGAATCAACATCAAGATATTCGGAAAGATTTGGAAAATAAAAAAACTTCTGAATCTGGGTGATGTCGAGAGTTGCAGCAAAACTATTGTGGTTGCCCAACGCAGTAAACCGCCTGTTTGAATTTCGCGAATCACGATATTAGTTAGTTTGAGTGCTCGAGAGCCCCGCGCAAAGAGTTATCAATCCAAATTGTACATAGCTCACAAAATACGTACGCAAACCGGCTTATTTACTTGTTGTGGATTTGTAAACATCTAATTCATAAGTCTAATCTAAGTCTTAAGATAAAACTGGAAATACGAAAAATTCAATCACAGAAAAACCGACGAGAAATAAAACCACCACAATTAGGCAAGCTTTAAGTATTTTCTGAATGTCAACTGAGCCAACAACACGTGGTTAAACGCCAATTGATCCGGAAACCAATAACTGCCAATTGAAATGGTTTTCATTATAATTCAAACTATCACTAAAATCAATAAGCAAAAAAGCAAGAAAAAAACGGTAAATATACCAATCAGGTATATTAATTCTAGAAAAAACTACAGGAGTTAATCAACGACACTTGAGACAACAATTAAAATTACAGCGCAAAAAAAACTTGGTGGCATCTAAGCCGACAAAACATAAGCCGACGAACAAAATCAGACTAATCAATTTTTCCCGGAAAAAAATTCAGACACTGAAAAAAAACAACAAGATCTGGCCGGAACTCGAGGCCCTTACGCTAGGTTTCAAAGGCAACTGCATTACCTCCAGACCAAGTGCGATGAATTACCGCGTGATTTTTGATTTCATATGAGCCAAAGGTAAAATGATTCAAGTGACTTTGTTAAACTAGTTGTTAACCCAGAAAAAAATCTATATTGCGATTTGACAACGCTTGCTTATCGCAAGCATAATGAATATTATTGAAAGCAACTTACCAATTGGGAAGTGTACATCAACAAGGTATTTACCAAAATTGCAACAAAAATCATACAAGAAAAAGCAAAGACTTTTGATTTTTTTGTGGTAAAAACCGCTTAAAGCTGAAGTTACTTAAGCTCTTCAAAATATTAATGAAAACAATCAATTCACACTTAAATAAAACTGCTTCTGCAACGATCGTTTCAAATATATTCGGATTTATTAAAGTGACTTCGCATCTTCACTGCGTTGATTGCCACTTTGAAAACACTAAAAAGCATTATTGAAATCAACTTTACTGGTCATTAAACCTTAACTCAGAGCAAAAAACAATGTGAAGATAGTTAACTTCTGCTCTGGCTACCCGTTTGTTATTTACTTTCGCCCTCTGTACCAATATTCAAGCTTATTTTTTATTCTATATTACAGCAACACCCTAGTTTTGAATTAAAAAAAAATTCCCATCTGCTTTTGGGAGATACATTACTGTCAGGGGTGTTCAAAAAATGATTGCAACACAAAAAATCAATTATTTAAAAACAATCGATTAAACAAGCGATCCAGAGCAGAAATTTCCGCATTCTAAACTATCTAAATTATAAGCAAGAAGAACACCTGATTAATGTGAAAATCAGTGAAAGAATCAGTGAAAATGATACTGGATTTCGAATCACAACTGCCTTAAAATCAAGCAAATCAGGGCAAAAATTTATGCAGAGCTCAAAATATGGATTACAGTGCGTAAAATTAGTCTTCTACAGAAACTTTATTTAACATAATTTAAACAAAGCTCCATAAAACACTACCGTTTTGCGAAAAAATTACATTATTATCTCCAAAATTCTAGAAAATCAATTGTTCGAGCAATACAAGCTTAGAAAAATTTTTCAAAAAAATTAGACACTAGGCGTACCCAAGAAAACAGCTATAAGAATGAGGTGATTCATCAGAAATCAGTTAGGTTTTGTTTTCGGAAAAATAAAAACCAATTTTCACCGAAATCAAAAACTACATTTCTATAGGTTAAGGGAATGATCTAGAGAACGGCTCATTCAGCGTTACACAGATGATAAGAAAAGAATCAGTCAACCTTTGAACACTCTTTTATTGAGCAAGGATTTTTCTAAATAGCTGATAGAGTTTAAAAATTTATTGTTTTTTTCAAAGTTTGAAATATAATACAATATTAAAGAGCATTCAATAAATCAGAGCATCATACCGATTCAAGTACCGGGTATCGTTTCTGACAATAAAGAAAAAACTCAGTAAATCACGGATTTAGCAAAACAAAAGCATAAGAGTGAGTTGGTTAAAACTATAACTTACCGGGTTTATTTTTTTTTACAAATTATGATGTATTCAAAATTAAGCCAATTACAGAACTCAGATGTTTGAACCAATTATCAACAAACAATTTCGATTGAAAGTCAAAATGAGAAAAAAACACAACCAATGGCTGAAACCAATTTGACCAAAAAACTTAGAAAAAGAACAGTTGACTGCAAACGATATATAGTGGAAAACAAGATAGACAAACTCCCTGCACAGCTTTCTCTAAAAACTGCGAAAAAATCACTGAAAAAGAATAAAACGAAAACTTTATTCACATTAAATGATTTCAAAATAAAAGAAAACATTGAATAACTGATTGATGCGTAATAGAAATTAACAAATCATTGAGTTTTTTTGCGAATAAAATTTACTGAGTTCGAGGTTTTTCTTTGAAAAAAAAGTAAAAAGGAGAAATTATTGCGGAGATTGTAATAAAAATGAAAGGAGAACAAATCACTGAGCTTTCTTGGAATACATTCTTGGACTGAAGAAACACAAAACTGAAATTAAATAAGAAATCAGAGCAACGCATTAGGAAAAATGGAACGGAAGTAACCAGTTATTAACTTTATTCAAATTCCAAAAAAAACAATCACTGCATAGCAGTTTATTAAATAGATAAAAGTAACAAACAGGGGGAAAACAATTTACAAAAAAATTACAAACAGCTGCGAACCCTTATGAAAAACCGAATTAACGAAACACTCCAAGCTTTTTTCACACAAATAAAAACAATCAGCAAATTGATTGGGTAACGTTTTTTCTCTGTCCCAAATCATTAAGGATGGGACAAAATGAATCTCTCACTAAGGAAAAAAAGATTTTTGAAGATTGGAAACAAAAAATACTTGATATATAAAAATCAGTTTAAACGCTTTTAACAGAAGGCTGCCAATGACAACTCTGACATTACATATCCTTTCGTGGTCCTCGACATAAACTTGATACCCGAAAACTCGCTAGTCGTAGGCCCTCGTAGCCAGTTAATTTAAGTTTCTTGAACTTATTCACTTTACGGTTACTGTTTCTACTAATTGTGCCATGTCCCTAAAGCCTCCAGAGCTGAATGGAGGCTTTTCAGACAGTAGACATCTAACTGAGCCCATGCAGCAGTAACCAATAAACAAGTTCAAGAAGGTATGTAGCTTTCAAAACGAAAACTGGAGCCCAAAACCAAGAGTAGTATTAGTAAAAGGTAGAGTCTGAAACGGAGTATCGAAAAAGTATCACCAGGCATCAAAATAAATGCTCAAATTAGCCCGGATTTAAGTTCTAAGCAATTATATAAACCAGTGAAATAAAACATCCTTGTATAGCATCATTTTGAAGAACAAGCATGCGTAAATAAAAACAATGCGATTACGCACAAAACCGATGCTTGATGAAAATCCGCTGGTTAGCAGTAACGTTTTAACCTATTTGCACAGCCTAGATATAAAAATTTACTGTAGTTACAACATATAGAGATAGCGTAACATGTATAAGCATGTCAACATAGGGATTTCCTTAACATGGCTGGAAATGTCTCGCTCAATTAAATATTAGATAGAGGAGATAGCGATAGATTGATATTGCCAAAGAAACAATCAATTAATTGCCAAAGTCATAAAATCACTTCAGCAGAGCTCAGAAACTACCTTTTCGTCCCAAAACTTGTTGTTCATCCCGTTTTTGGGCACTTTTTGGAAATTGCTGACCAAAAAATTGCATTTTCTCGGCGCGAGCTCCCCTTCCAATCTAGTATGTATTGGCTCCTCTAAAAAGTTTCAGAGCTGATGGGCCGAAAATGAACGCCATAAAAATACCAAAAGGGGACCCTTTGGTTGAAGAGAAGGTCGACTCCCTAAATCCGCCCCTGATAAAAACACCAATTTATTGCAATAAATTGGTATTATCAATCAATTAATTGTAATTGGAGACCTTAAACAATCAATTAAATTAATTGCAATGCAATTTTAACACCCCTGATTACAGTATATTCTGGCGCACCCATGTCGCTGATTAAAATACTTTCAATTTAGACCAACTACTAACCCACTCTGAGCTGCAATAATCGCCGCTTTTTTGTTGCTTTTGGGTAACTTGGAAAAAGCATCTACGTCATGGCAGAGCCTCCCAATGCTTGTCTTCACCGAATTGCTGTCGTGCTCGGTCGCTGATTTATGCAGTGATGAAACAAAACTTGACAAATTTTGCGCAATATTTCTCAGATAGCTGTTCCAGCTGCTTAGCAATGTTTTACCACAAGATTTTGGGCATTTCAGCGCAATTGCACAAACAGTAGTCGCCGATACTTTTAATTCATCGCAACTTGAGGATATATCTTGTAGAGCGGGTTGCGGATTATCCAAAAAGATGAGAGATAGAAATATACATTTCTTCTGTAGATCAAGTAAACAACTGTTCAAATTGTTAAGAAACGCATCTGTACTTTCAGAAATTGATCCGTCGTAATCACCATTTAACAAATTAAGCTCAGGTTGACAAATTTCTTCAGTAATTCCGTTGATCTCGCTTTTTAGATCCAACAAGTAGCCCAACAAATCGCCTCTAACCATTTCTGGAACAGTACATAGATCATATTATAGGACTGTGTTACCGAGTCTATCTGGTCCTCTTGCTTTTTGGAGGTTTAATGTTTTAAGGATGTGATTCCAAATCAAGCCTCAAAAACGTTTTCTGGATTTATTTCATCAGTAAATATGAGGAAAGTGTCCCAGGCACATGGAGAATAAACTGCTGCAATAGCTGTGTAAACTCAATGAAACTATAAAACTCAGTTTAAAACTCCCAACGCGGGGCATTTTAGCCCCATGGCTTTATGTCTAAATCCTTGTTTATTATTATTATTATTATTATTATTATTATTATTATTAATACAAAAGTATCATAGTAACTGAGGTTACAGTCAGGAGTCCCTTCATCACATTATCGGGTCAAAATTCTCGGAATTTTCTATATATGGAAGAGGTAAGTATAATGTGGATAGAAGTGAAGAGAGTCAGATGGTTGGTATTCCAGCCAACCTGATTGAGAAAACAAACACCGCTCAGAATAAATCGGAGTTGAAATTGACTCAAAAAGACAGACCTGATATGATGCTACAGGTCTATCATATACTTAAATAAAGCTGCGCTTTTGTTCCCTAAGCTCTATAAAAAAATTCTTCGAAAGTAGTTTTATCATTTATAATGCCGAGTACACAGGAAGCGTTCGCATCCTGTATTGCGAGAAAAATTATCTGCTTACGAAAACTAACTGACCTGGGTTCCTCGGTACACGTGCACAAGTTCTAACAAAGCTTATTCAGCAAATTTTCAGTGCTAGCGCTGAAGCCACACTGAACTTCAAAAGCTATTGGTTGAAAACATATTAGTTGAGATCTTGTAACAGTCGCCTATTTAAGTCACATATGAGGCTAAGAAAAATGGGCCCTAAAACATTGGCTCAAGAGTAAGGGACACTATCTCTTGAGTTTTTCTACCTCATACAGTCTGCACCACTTCGGTTCACTTGCGACATGAGACTACAAACGGTGTTACAGCTTAAAAGCTACTACCTAAACCCCCCACTCTAAAATAAGAACGCCCCCATGGTTAGGTCTCTAAATACCTAAACCACACGAAGTATACCGTTAGTTTTTATTGGACAGTGGAACTTTGATCCATTTCAAATGGATCAATGTGAAAACTCGCCATAACTCAACATAATCATATCAAATCTTTTGAGAATGCGTTAAAATTGTAAATTAAAACAAACGTTTTCGCACATTTTAGTGCATCTTCAGGTTTAATGTAACATTCGCCCAAATACTACACAGTGACGGAGCGTAGAAAAGTACCTGTAGACGACTGGCCGGCGTCAGGGGTCTAGGACAACAAGCCGACGGGACTTCAAGCCGAAGGGACTTCAAGCCGAAATTAAAACTTTACAAGCACCCCAAAACGCTATTTTATCATCTGCAAAATGTTGCTTTTCTAAAATTTTGGCAAGTTTAGTCCATTACAAGCGTTATTCATGACAATGCACCACTTGTGATTCGCATCCGTTATTAATATCAGCCGGTTTTTGAAATGCGTAAATTATAAACATGAAAAATGCCTTCAACCATGTTTTACTTTTCAACTTTCCGGAACATCATTTGGAAGCTTAAATTATATGCAAACGCCAATAACTAGTGAAGATAAGATCGTGAAATTCAGAAATTCTTCAAAAAATTTTTCAAATTGTTCATATTTCACGACTTTATAAGGATTTATTCGGCTTGAAGTCCCTAATTTTTCAATTCGGCTTGAAGTCCCGTCGGCTTGATGTCCGGCACCCGGCGTCAGTTACCCAAATTCTACTCGTTTTTCAACGTCTCGGCCTAGCCAATTGATTTTCTGGTCTGTCTAGGGCGAAGTAAAAGGTTACCATTTTGAGGCCATCAGTCAATGTAACGTCGCAATTCAAATTTTTGAAAATAAAAAAATTCCAGAAATTTCTAGCCTCCTTTTCAACCATAAACGATCACTAAGGCCTCTAACGTCTGCGACGAAAATTTCCGCTGTGCCAATCCGGGTGAATGGCACATACTCCCCGGACAATCCCTATCAATGTCCTCATTGATCGCATAACACCGGGTTATCGTCAAGTAGCGTTCCAGTTCTCTATAATCAACCATACAAATCGCATTAGAAAATGAAATTTATCTACTCGATCTCAACTCACCGCGTTTCACAAATGGCATCATGCTACACCTCACTGCCTTTCAACATTTTCACAAATTTTGCACTATGAGGGTTGTCTGAGATAAAGTTTCTTTTCTGACTACTTACGTCATCTCGCCATAAAATTCTTTTTCGCACTTGCTTGATTAAAATTTTGGGACGTGACACGGCCAACGCACCCGTTAAAATTAGCCTAATGTCACTCACCAAGTATAATCAGTGATTTATGCTCTCGTCCTCAATATTAAAACCAATAAACTCTGTGGCTAGGTAAGGTAATGAGGTACTTACCCTCTTCGAGCGAGCCTACTCAAACCTACTAGGTCGCCACACAGTGAACACGTTTCTTACACAGGTTAAAAATTTAGTCGGGTTTACATAGGTAAATATACTCACCTATGCTCTCTATATATGTGTAAATAGCATCAACTAAAATTCTCATTGTCATTTAGCAATTGCAACAATTTACCAATTCTCAAAGCCTGGTTTAACCAAACTGCAGTCAAACAAAAAGTTTAACAGGTTCAATAATCAAATTTAGTTGATTGGTATAAGTTTTAGCGCACAAAAACAATTAATTTTTTCACCTTCTCTCTTCACTCTCACTCCATCTCGTGTTACATCTTCGTCTTCACTCCATTGCTTCTTGTCCTTGTTCTTCTGTCTCCCTGTCTTCTAGGACTTTCTCCACCATTTCCACGGAATTGCGGGCCGTGTCCCAACTCTCCTGCTCTTTCAGCCTCAGTTTGCAACAAGGTAGTAAGTCCACATTCACCTTTTGCTCCCGGTTCCTGCAAAAGCTGTTGTGCAGACACAAGCTCACCAATCGTTCTAGGTCAGCTCGCAAGACCTCTCTCTTTTCAGTTTCAATCAGACAGTGCGCTCCAGCTACTCGCTTCACCGCCGTGGTAACATCGTTTCTGTGCCTTAGGAATGCTCTCTTATAGGCTCCCGGTCCTATATCTAGCTGGAAGGATTGATAGGCTTCCATGTTCCTAGACATATGACGCTTCGCGCGTTCATATATCCATGACGTCATAACTGTACGGAACCAAGGCATCAACCTTTGCCTTGACCATATCCTCTCAATGGCTTTGGGTGTCCTCAGAACCTTGCAGGTGGTTCTGAAAAGATCTAAGTTGTTGTTCATCTTCACGTTGCTTAGTTGCTCAGGTGTTGGCACGACCGTCGCCTGCTCACTCGTGCCCGCGTTAGCTTCTAACCATCTCATCGCCAGCATGGCACTAACCACCACAATTGACACTGGCTGATTTTGGCGTCCCACAATAACACCAGATTCCCGCGTTTGGGGTACCATAACGTCTGCCAGGCAGTGACAAGGATACTCCCCATGGGTCATCAAGATGTTCCTTCGGGTCCGATACCCTGAAGCTCCCAGCAACGGTTCCACTTCTGTCATGATCCTATGTACGTCGTCTTTTTCATCCATGGTGGAGAAATTGGTGGGTAACGCTTCGCTCGCCTTCTCCTTCTGGAATTCACTCACCTTACCCTCACTCAACCTCATGAATTCTTATCCCACTACGTCCTGCAACTCACCTTCAGATCTCATCGGAACGGCCTAAATGATCTTCGTCAGTAAATCATATGACCTCTCCGACATCCTGGCCAATCTCACGCACTTTGGCACAGAGAAGAGTTGGTCGAACAACACCTGCTGCGCCCTCGCGTCCATCACCACCATGTGCGTAGGGTAACTACTATTGCAATATGGTGCGGAGCCCGAACCTACCAGATATTTCGAACAAGTAGATCTATGATAGGCCTCACTGTCTTTCAACTTCATCTCGTTCTCTAGAGCGTCTCGCCAACCTCCAATCTTCTGCTCAGTCCGAAATGCTCCAGGGAACACTTCCACACTTTGGGACGTAACTAGCCCATGGGCACGCTCCAGGCGTTCCAGTGATTCGATCGAGCTCTACTGTGGGCTAGACAGGTGCCCTGTCTCAACCAATCACCCGAGGGATTACCCTCGGCTGGTTCCATGGATCGTCTGCTCTTCGGCTTTGTTATTTTCAGGGCCAGCAGATGATGTATCACGGCCAAATCGTGTAGACTCGTTTCATCCTCCAAATCCAATGTGACATCTGCCGTCATATCCCAGATTGAACCGGCGTTTGGATGTGGACAACAAGATGGCTTCATGAGTTCCCAAATGGTTAGTAAGCTGGTCTTCAAGGGACCGTGCCGAGAACCACAATCAAAGTTCACTTGCCCCTTTTGCTCGGAAACCGAAGGTTTGACCACTCGTTCTTCCAAAATGACTCCCAGCTTGGGTTGTTCCACCATCAACATGCCAGTTTACTTGTTTCGCTCGACCCAGAAATCAAGTACCATAACCTGCTCATAGTCAAAGTATGCTTCCCTGAGTTCCTCGTCCATGAAGAGATTGTACGCCATCCCTGGTATTCCTGACACATATTGGAATGACTTCAACTTCCCCAATGTTGCGTAGTCCTTCTGTCCCCTGACTGCTTCAATTGACTCCCGGCTCACTTTCAACTCCTTGTTGGAGTATCTTCTCACTTCTTCCAACCTGCGATAGCTTTCCATGTCGTTCGACTCTTTATTTGGTATGAGCAGCGGCATGTCCCAATATAACTCCAGGAGTGCCCTCAGAAAGTTTTGTTCACAATCAACTCCCCTTGCTGAATGGATTTTATACATTCTTCCAACATGGGAGTGGGGATACGATCCACCACGAACCTCATAAAGCAAAAGGCATCTTTACGATTAGCCCAGGCTATCGCCGAATCGTCTTTACTAATCAACACTCGCAGGGCTCCCATCAAATCCAGTTCCTGCTCCCTTGATTTCGAGTCATTGTTGGCCTCATATTCCAATTTCCTGATTCCCATTAGGCACCAGG